TTCATTTGTAAGAAATTTGATTTGACTGAGCTCTTTATCAGCTTTTCTACACTATAGCTTCAACTGACCTCATCAATCATCACTATGTCTCAGAGCTTGTCGTGCTTATTTCTTTCTTTTATTGAGAATTGTTTGAGGAAGTTGAAACTAATATTTAATCTGAAAAATTTCAGGTTCAGCTAGCAAACCAGAATCAGCTTGTTGATCATTACAGCTCCAAGCACCCAAAAGAGAAGCCTCCAAGCAACTCAGGATAACAACTCATTTGGTTCTAAAAGAAAGAAACCTGGTTACTGTTATGGTGCTGTGAAAAACTGTAATTAGACTCCCAAAAATTCAGAATCACATTCTAAGGCTTGTTGTGCTTCCAGTTTGTATGAATGTGACTGTATGTCAAGTTGTGCATGCCTCCTAGACCCCCTTTTTCACTACCCAGATAATACATATGAGAATGCAGTACATTTTTTTTTTCTTTTTTTTTTTTTCTTGTGGAATAATGCCAGTGAACATATCACTAGTGCTTTGTCCTAGCATTATAGTTTCTGCTTCTTTATGTATTCAGATAACCGAATAAATTTAGGGTGCCTAGATAAATGTCTTGATTTTGAGATATTTTTATCTCATACAAATGCTCTTTTGCTCATTTATTGAATATGAATAGAGTTTTACAAATGTGTCATGGACGCTTGATGCATTTGATTGTGCATTGCTGTGAATAATGCATGTAGCTCACAATTGGACGTGATTGGCCGTTATCTGGATGCCAGTTACTCCTGTATTATTGAAAAAAAAAAAAACACAAAAAAAAGGCACAAACGAATTTTTGTTTCAGTGAAATAGAACTCTCACTTCTGATGTAAACAAGTTATATTGAGCAGGGCTTGGCTAATGAAAGCTAGTTTTATTACATTATTATGCAGACAACACCAGAGGAACAGGGTATGGAGAGCTATATTGGCAGCAGGAAAGATATATAAAACTCAAACAAATAATTTTCTCCAGTTCATGATTTGCAGTTTAAAATTTATGAATTTGTTGATTGAATTTGTGAACAATTGTCAAGTTATTTGTCAGTTTTCATTCATATATATGAGAAGCATTATACTTACATATTTGTGGTAGTGAAATAATAAAAACCTATATAGATATAAAATAAAATCATTATACTTAATTTAACAGATTGAATATTTAAATTTGATATAGATTAATTTTGATAATAATAAATCGTTGAATAAAAAGTTAAATCTATATGTATAAAAATATTATTTGAGGCTGTTGTACATGTATTATTTACAATAATTTTCCGGTTAAAATCCTTTAGACTAATTTAGTTAGTCATCACTTCTTTTTTTACTTGCAAATTGCAATGTTTGCAACATTATAAAGTTTGTAAAATTTAAATATAGTAAAAAAAAATTAATTGTTACGTCACCATAGCATATAACTGTAACTTAACCTATAATTATAATTTTATTTATTTTTTATTTTTTATAGAGAATTTTGACAAAAATATACAGTTTTTTGAAAAAGAAATTGTGTAATGATCAAATTTATTATTATATAATACATACCATAGGTTTTTTAATTTCAAAAATAAACTTTATATATACAATTTATACTACCATAAATATTCTCTTCATAAAATATTAAATTTTATAAATTAGTCTTTAATATCTATATCTATATATATATATAATAAAAATTACTATTTATAAAAAATAGTAAGCTAAAAGATTCCGCCAACATTTAATGCATGCCATTTTTAAAAAAAAAATCTATTTTTTTAAATGCATCATTAAGTGCACCCTAAAATGGTGGGTAATATTGAACTAATTTTTTAAATTCAAAATCCGCTCATTTTAATTTCTATAGAATCTGGTTGCATGCAAATTTTCGTCTGATTTGAATTTCAAATTTTCTTTTCATTTTGGTTTCCATAAAATCGGTTGAATTAAAGAATCCTTCCTCAAATGAAGGATTTTTGTTTAAATTGAATTTTAGAAATCTCTACACACATGTGGCTATTCTTGGACCGTTTAATTTATTCATTCCTCAAATCAAAGATTTTGTGCAATTTTAATTTAACAAACGTTTACTTACTTCCGTGATAATATGCCATACAATATCTTATCCCTTCTCTACGTTACCAATTTTTTTTCCTTAAAAATACTAATTCTCTAATATTTAATTACTAATATAAATCTCTTTTATATCGTGATAACTAATTCATTACTGTATAATTACTAATATCAACTAATTCATTAATGTCTAATTACTAATATAAATTTGGTAACATTTTTTTTTTAAAGGGTTAATTTTCCTCTATAATGTCTAATTACTAATGTTTTTTAGGTTGGAAGATTACTAACACATATAATATTTTAGATACTTTTAAACATTATTTGGACAAATTTTTAAGACAAACTCTAGATTAAGGATATATATATATATATATGTGTGTGTGTGTGTGTGTGTGTGTGTGTGTGTGTGTGTGTGTGTGTGTGTGAA